TCTCTCTCTCTCTCTCTCTCTCTCTCTCTCTCTCTCTCTCTCTCTCTCTCTCTCTCTCTCTCTCTCTCTCTCTCACGTGTCTACGTCGATCGTGAATGAAGGGGTGCCTGAGGCAACCCCATGTTCGCACAGAACTCAGCGAATTCCCTGTCCCACTCTTCCCAAAACGACTTCGGGTACTGGTACATTTCTATCTGGAATTGCAGACTCGCAATTTCCTTCTCCTTCTCCAACAAAGCGGCACGGTTGGCGTCGCAGGCACTACAGGAAGAAGCTTGCGACATCGAAGCCTCCTTCCCTTTCCCCTTCCCCGAGACACACAAGCGGTCCAACTGCGTTGCCAGCTGCTCACCCTCTGTCATGCCTTCACATGCTACGTCGTGGAGCACCTCGTCATAAAACCGCCATGCTGTCTCTGCCTGAGCCCGCGCCACTCTCAACTCCTCCTCAGCGGACTCCAACCTGCGCATGGCATCATCCCTCTGCTGCACAGCAGTGTCCAAAGCACGGGAAGCATGCTCAAATCTTTCCCGCATGTCCTCAGCCGCACGTCTCCAACRATCAAGCTGTCGGCGTAGCTGCATATTGTTGCCGACAACATCGTCACAACATTGGCGTAGAGCGTCACGCGACTCGCRCARCCGTCTCAACACGGAGGAAGCCCAGCGGCGAGCATGTATGTTCTCCAAGGATATGTCTGTCGTGTGTTCACTCCCCCCGCTCCTYAGTRTGATTGTGAAGTTGTCGGCCCTCGTAACCAGGAACCTATGCAGCCGTGCGACCTCCGCCTCCGTCCTATCCAAGCTCTGGATGAGCACATGCCTCTCGAACACGTAGTTCCTGCGTGTCACATTTCCCGCCATGGCACCACTGTCGTCGTGSYCGAGCAAGTACAAACAGTGAGAGAGGGCAGCCCCGAACCCAACACCTGCAACTGCAAGGAGAATTGTAAGACTTGTGTGAATCGGGGAGCCTGCAACAGGGTTTAAACAATCCACGATGAACCAACTAAACGGCCTGTCGCCGCCGCAGCTCCCACAAACGGACAACCTCAGCGCACAATGCRTCCCGCACCGCCTGGCCGCGCTCCCTGCCAAACATAAACTCCAGTGGGGCGCCTTCAACACGGAGGTCRACATCCTSAGGTGGAGCATYGGGAGAYGAYGCATCACTGAGYTCCCCGTCCGCATCTGGCATATCCCCCCACGACYGCAGCAAATTATGGAGGATACAACAGGCCYGGAACTCCAACTTCWYACGGGACATGTCCGGTATATGGGGCCTGTAGAAATACTGGAAACGCTGTTTGAATACTCCGAAAAAMCGCTCGACACAAGACCGCACAACCTTGTGCAGCGCATCGAAACGCTGATTGGCSCTCGTGACACGCKGCGATTGACCGTAAGGAATCACAATCCACGGAAGATTGGGATACCCGCCGTCACCAAGCAAGTACCCCCCCGGGACACCCGGGATAGACGGCCTCTCAGCAGCGAAAGGGTCATCGGGCCGGTCCACAAACAGCGAACCCTTGAGGGCGTGTCTATACAATGAAGTGTTCCTGAGAGCACGGGCATCGCCAACAGTCCCTGGGAAGCCATAGCAGAAATCCAGGATCTGCAAGTCGGAGTCCACAATAAGCTGCGCGAGCACTGAGAACCTGTTGCTACGTCCAGAACAGTAGTCATCACCATCGGCACTTCGCGGCTTGTCGATGTACACATGGGTGCAGTCAATGCACCCCCAGCAATTCGGGAAACCCAATGCACGAAAACGCTGCATGCGAAGGTGCCGCTCCTCCAAACTGCCGATACTAACGACGTTCGGGAAGGCCGTGTGAATGGCCTCCGCGACCTCTCGCACTGCGCGCAAGGCACTGGTTTTCCCCATCCCATAACCCGATGAGCTGTGCCAGTGCCCGTCACCGTGGGCCCATCTGTGGAGTGCGTAGGCCAATTTCTTGGCCGGTGGCAACGGCAACCTGAATTTTGTAACTTGTTTCTCCAAAAGGGGTCCCACCTTACGCAGCAACCTGTTGAAAGTGGACCTTCGCATGCGCAGTAAGCCCAAGTAGTGGTCATTSTCCGCGTCGTCCGTAGCGAGGAGGTCCTTCCACAACCCCGCAGACCGCCGCATAACCCACCACCTAGGCGACTCCCTTGGCGACAAGCCACAGATGTCGTAAATAGTGGGCAACAACCAAAGAAGACTGCGGCGTCCACGTGCGCGGTCTTCATCGTCGTCTCCAACAGTAAGCATCGCCATGTCATCGTCCTCACCAGTCAGCAACGACTTACATGCGTTGTCGTCAAACAGGGACTCAACGAATTTGAAGGCATCTTCCGCCAAGCTGGAGGCGATGGCCATGACCGCAACAACCAGCTGCTGGCGCTGTCTCCTACGCAGGCGCGGCATGACTGCTGACGGTTCCCACGTGCACGGCGATGGCTCAGACAGACGTGTACCAGCGTGGCAACGAAATGATGGAACTCGGGTTCCAAGGGTCTCTGCTCCGACTCCCAATGGGGACGCTGGTCCTTAAAMCGGCCCCGRGCCTCCACCAAYGGCAGTCCCGCTGGCTCCGAACTCCTYGCGGGAAAGCGGCGATGAGAGCRTGGTACCAAGGCAGGACGGCGGAGACGAGAGGGAGGTCACCCCCGACCACTTGAAGGCGCGCGGGGCTAGCCGCAGTCGCAGTCCCTTTCRGGTCGACACAGAGAAGAAGGAAAAAGCGGATAGGCACCGTGTGGCCAAATTCACCCCGGACCATTGCTGGGTCGGACGCRTCATCGTTTCCACTCCGTTTTCGAGTTCAGAGTTAGGGAGGTGTTTGGCGGCGCACTTCGCCAACACTCTGTGCATCATTCGTGCACGGGAGCCTGCAAGCGGGTCACATGCAGCCGAAGCGCTCTGCTGTGGCGCAATGATGACGGCTGTCAGACCTTCTCAGGGCTGGCCCTYGTTTTCCGCGTTTTTTTCCTATTAACCRAAATAAACAAAACAATATATTATGCTTTCCCCTTTTTTTTTAATCCCGAAAACGCGTCACACACCGATTTACTCTTCGCTAGTCGGACCTGACCCCTGGGGGAGCACAACAATTTTTTTTTTTTTTTTTTTTTTTTTGTTACGGGACGCCGGGGAGGGGCTCCACCTCGTGAAGTAGGTTGGCGACCTTACTTCCCCTGAATCTGGAACCTGTACCATTGTATTTTTTGGCCTTGGGCACTGGGCCCTAATAAAAAGACAGTTCTATAAATAAATTAATTAAAAAAAAAAAACATTTGAGCTGATAGACGAACAGCCATAATGCAGTTCTTTTCTTTTTTTTCTTTCTTTCTGTTTTTTAAACGGAGGCTCCGTCTATCGGTGGGTAGCAGGATCACCTGGTGGATCCGACCGCTGGAAATATAGACGTTGGGTGGCGGTCCAGTTCACAACACCCTATATGTCTATGGACCTCACAGCCTGTCCCCTTACATTCAAAATGGTGTCCGAGTCCTCTGGATGCACCTGGTCCAGAAAGGCATCCAAATGCATGTAAGAATGTTGAGTAGTAGAGGGAGGTTCACTAGGCTCACATTTTTTGTTACTCCTGCTCCCTACAGATTCCCAGCCCCTGTAACCGACTTTTTAAACGGCAAATTTTTTTATTTTTATTTTTTAGGACGGCGAATATTTTTACCAGATAGGTGGATGGATAGATGGCAGCATTGGGAGGCTCGTCGCCACACAGGCTGTAGAAACTATTCTTTGAGTTTCTACAGCTGTCAGAAAAAAATTGAAAGTCGGCGGTCCGCAGGTTACCCTCCCCTTTGCCACAGACGCTGTCGAGGGGCAAGGTTTTTGGTCATGGCCAAATGGACTCCGCCTTTCGACAGGGCACGGGTGTCACAGAACAGTCCCTGACACCGACAATGCAAATTCGAACTCGAATGCAATTCTCGAAAGGCAGGTGGTTGGGCCACTTCCGTATTTCCATCACCTGCATTGTGGATGCTATCTATGAATTGCCCTCTTCTACTGGGCCTCATAAAGCATTGCGCAGAGTACGAAATGGGAAAAACACAAAATGGTTAGTGAAGGGCGAAGCTCAGTGTATAAGCGGCGCCTTGGACACAAATGGGGGAGGGTGGCTGTCGAGCGTAGCATTCTGACACCTGGAGAATTTAATTTGAGACGCAATTCTTCGAAAGTCTGTGTGGCGATGCAAAATTGTCAAAAACCTGGTTTTCGACAGCCTGTGTGGTGAGCCTCTGGGCCTCGCTGCTCTCCTAGTGCTCAAAATGAGAATGGATCTTCCACTAGAACGCGGAAAGATACACCGCCATATTTTTTTGTCTTTTGTGCATGGGGAGACTAGTGCAGCGAGGCCCATTGATACATGGACAGATAGGTAGAAAGACAAATCCACTTCGGGGGCCACATCGCTCTCGAAATGTGAAAATTTCAAGACAAAAATGTGGCGGGTGCATCTGGCCATGTTCTAGCAGGAAGTTCATTCTCATTTTGCACATTTCGAGAGTGGTGTGGTGAGGCCCTCCATGTCGTCGCCCTAATCGCATCCACAATGTCAATCCACTCCCCGCTGCCAAATCTGTCACCCAACTTCCTCCTCCCACTTCGTTAGTATTCCAGGGGGGGGTAAATATATATATATATATATGATGAGTCGGTGCAACTCCGACGAAACAGTTTGTCACAGCCCCTCGTTTGTTGTCCTCTTCTCCCTCTCTGCCTATGGGTTACCGGGCAGTTCTATTTGACGATATATATATATATATATATATATATATATATATATATATATATATATATATATATATATATATATATA